GCGAGGTCATCGGCTGAGAGCGGGGGTGGAGGTGGGCTGTGGGAGTTCTGAGAGACAGGCAGCACCTAGTATGCCTTTGCGCTGAAATCATAAACTTAAAGTAAAACCCGTCAGCTCCGTGTCATTTTCTCAACACCAAGCTGCGTGGCTGCAGGGTGGGGAAGGGGGGGCGGTAGGTTCACCCAGAGTGAGTGGGACACAGGAAGAGAGGAACCAGGCAGTTGAGAGTATTGGTCACAGGGAGTGATTGTAACGGTGGATCACGGGAAGTGAGGCGCAGGTGGGACACTGCTGCTCAGTCCCCGCTCTCATGGGGCTCTAGGGAGCAAGACAATATACATATATATGTAGGTATAACATGTAAATAGGGACGTATATGCGATCAGCAGGATGGGCAGTGCCTCACCCATACTCCCGTACATATACTTGGCTGACTTCCAGCCAACAGCATCTGCATCTCTTTGCCCGAAAGCGCGGCAGGCCAGAAATCACGCATGGGGGTTCATGCTCTGAGAGCACCGTTCAACCGGTAACTAACAGGAACTGTAGTAGAAATACTCTGGGTCCCATACCCTTCAGTGGAATAACAGGTGACGTTCCATGCTGGCTCCCCAGCAAGGTGAAGTTCAGTTGCCCGTGGTGATAACTCACTGGGCAAGCTTCTTTCTAGGTATGGATTGGCTACCTTCCCTTCCCTGTCTCACTTCCCTTCCTGGATGTTTTCTTGAATCACCTTCCAAATAAATGACTTGCTCCCCAACCCTTGTTTCCGAGTCTCCTGGGGGAATCCAAAGTAAGATATGTGCCATTAGAAGCTGTAATACACGCCACGGACCAGGGTACAGGTTCCTCTTCGGGGGGGGAAGTGTTGTCTGCCCCCGTGTCAAATGGAAGTAAGGGCGTCAGGCAAGTGGAGAATGACACCTGTGAGTTGGGATCTGAAAAAGAAGCGAAAAGGAACATGGCGCATTTGAGGGACAGAAAGGCCACTGTGGGGGGTGCCTGGGTGGCTCTTTGGTTAAGCGTCTGACTCTTGGTTTTGGCTCAGGTCATGATCTCACAGTTTGTGAGACTGAGCCCCGCCTCCGGCTCTGCGCGTTCAGTGAGGAGGAGCCTGGGATTCTCTCTCTCTCTGTCCCTCCTACTCTTGCTCGCTCGCTCTCTCTCAAAATAAATAAATAAACTTTAAAAAGGCCACCGTGTCTGCAGCAGGGGACCAGGGCTATGAATTGAAGCCTAAGAGGCCACACCCTGCAGGGTCTTGAGAACATGGTAAGGAGGTTGGCACATCTATGCAGAGAATAATGGAGAGGCCATTGAAGGGGGTCAGGCAGCCAGCGGCAAGATCAGATCTGCCCCCAATAAGAAGCAGAGAAGGGAAGACGAGGGGCAGTGGGAGAGAGAGGGGGTCCAGAGACCTCTCTATGGGGACCCAGGGCTTGGCACCGAGTTTTGCACGTGGTAGAGTTGCAGTAAATGTTTGCTGAAGTGGAAGTTCAGTGTAGTTAATATGTATTAACTACATATTTGATTGACCAGAACGCCCTATCTCCTGGCCAAGATGAGTCATGGATTTCCTTAATTAACGACGCCCCACTTCACTTTATCAGGCCGTTCTCTTCAGAGCAGCATCGATCTAATGACTCGCTTCTACCTTTTCCCATCCTCCACTGTCCTGATTTTCTCTCCTCTTTTCTCTCCTACCATACCTCTCCGTCTCTCCTCTTCCCAAGTAATCCTGTGTAATAAAGTTGATTCTATCTTCCAGTCTCCATTTCTTCTCCTTCTTTTTTTAATGCTTATTTATTTTTGAGGGAGAGACAGAATGCAAGCAGGGGAGGGGCAGAGAGAGAGGGAGACACAGAATCGGAAGCAGGCTCCAGGCTCTGAGCTGTCAGCACAGAGCCCGACGCAGGGCTCGAACCCACGGACCGCAAGATCATGCCCTGAGCCAAAATCGGATGCTTAAACGACTGAGCCACCCAGGCGTCCCCCGGTCTCCGTTTCTATTACCTGTGGCCCTCTTATTCCTATGCAGACTCATATTCAGAGATGACAAACATCTGATCATCAATGTGGTGTCACGTGTGGCCGCTGTAAATATATTACTACTGAACACACCGAGAGATACTGAATGATATGTACTAGTCAGCAAGGTTAGATTTAGGGGGCGGCAGAAAGTAATACAAGACGGATGGAGGTCCCGGAAGGCGAAAACCTAGGCTGTAAACTACTCTCCTAGTGTACGTTGCAAGTAGTCACAATTGTTCTCTTTTCTCTCTTCTGCTCCCTTTCATAAGAAATCTTGAAATCTTTGCTCATCCTCTTCAACCCAGCAATTAAAGAAAAAAGACAGTAGGTGTCTGAGATCTCACACAACCTTTTATACCCAATATTTTTGTTGTCTTAAACACAAACCTTCAGTAGTCGGTGAGGGTTATGTTTTACAACAGCCTGGGGTGGGGAAGATGTATTCACTGGGCTTTCCATTTTCACCCTGGGGTCCCTATTTGGCACATTCACCAGTCACCCCATGCCCCTCACCCTGTGCTCTGGCAGGATTTGAGACATATGCAAATTGCAAACTGGTAAATAGCGACTTTGCATATTTTGAATAGAAGGGAACAACACGGTACCACTCATTCCGTTCACAGGGAAATCTGAGATAATGGAAGCGAGGGCCAGGGCAGACCCAGGGTCCTAAGTGTTTTCTTCAAAGTGCTTATTATGCTTATTAAATCTATTGTACAGTGATGAATTCATTTGAATTATTTACATGGTCAACCTTTGAGACAATAACCTGATTTAACCAGACGATGCAAATGTATCATTTCTCTTTGAAATCTGAAAGCAGGTTTAAACTGGAGGAAGCATCAGGACTTGTATCTTTTCCTGCAGATACTGGTTACAAGCCTGTAGTTGTCAGGTTAAGTGACATAATGTCAGAATCAAGAGAACGTGGTGATGTATTCCTCGGGAGGGTCGATAAGCTCCCCCCTGAGAACATGTCCCCTGGACGGCCAACTCTTGGGTGACAAATTTCTCAAGGAAGTCTTTCAATTCCATTTCTCTGTAAAATATCCTGCCCTGTCTCACATCTGACATGAGGCCGTTCATCTGCTAACATTTCCATGTAAAGGGAAACCACATGGTAGGAATGGTTGAGTTTTGCTTCGATCATAGGCCTGGTGTCATTTTAGTGAGTTTGGACTTTAGGGCTTTATTTTACTACTGAAGCTGTGAGAAGCTAAGGTTGCTGTCAAGTTCAAAGTACCATAATCCAATTATTTTTTTAAAAACTAGGTCTTCCATTATGACTTGGACAAAAATCGGAAAAAAAATTGGAAATTGTGGTCCAAGCCTCTCTATCCTACTTTGGATTTTTTTTTTTTTTCTTGTCGTTTGGGGGTTTACAAGGCATTTTGTGAACTGTAAAATCGTGTGTGATTCTGAAGGTGGCGTCTCTCCGAGGTAAAGCGAACAGCTTGCATCTTAAATATTTTATGAGATCTAGGTATTAGAACAGCGTTTCTGATGCAGGAACATAGCGATCTAGGAACAAAAGAGCGATGCGGCCACAGAACGGACTGTGAAATTTCTTCAAGATATTAAGTGATATGAAGGCTGAAAACATAAATGGATGGTGATACTGGAGATTGTTCCTAATAAGGGCTTTAAAAGCCTAATGATTTATTGATTGGCTCTTTGCTAATGATGTGGTCCTGACTCTTGTGTAACTCCGAGGGCGGATTTATGAGATGGTACACTCATCTTTCAGCTATATTGGGCCCAAGCCTCCATGTTGAAAATAAATGCAAGGGTGGAGGCAACTCTCCGAATATCTCGGGGGCGGAACACGCACATGATTTGTGGTAGGCGAAGGCCAGTGGATTGGGTGAGGAGAAAAAAAGCAAAAGGAAGAGAGCAAAACCTCTAAAGGGAGTTCGCCAAACACAAGGGAGAAAAGCCTAACATCAAAAACCAAACCAAACCAAAAAACCCACTACTTCTGTTGAGAAATACCCCCGGCTTCTCTTATTCTAAAAGGAGAAAAAAATAGAGTCTCAGGTGCCGCCAGGGAGCAATATTTTCCTCTCGAAAAAGATGAAGAAAGGAAAAGAAAAAAAAGAAGAAAAAGTTGTCCTGTTGAATCAGCTACACATGGAGTCAGTCTGTGTAAGGAAATCAGCCTTTTCATTACAAATGGGCTTAAAAAGCCCCAGAGAAGGCGGACGTGAACAGAAGCAATATTATCCCTAACAACCCAACTCTCTTTCAAGCAGCTGAGAGGATATCAGCAGCAACATTGAACATGGGGTTTGTCTTAAGATAAAGACTCATCTTTATTTCTTTCAGGATATAAAACTTGTATTTAAATCAATTCAGAGAAGCACTTTAGCTTTCAACATTAGAAAGTGGGGAGAGCCTATTTAATAAAACGGCATTATTTCATTTTCAAAGAATGCTACTGGCAGTAGCTGAGTTTAAATTCTGTATTCTTTCCCTCAATTATAATTATAGATGGGTCTGAAAGGAAGCGTGCCTATTACTGTCATATTTATTCTTTTGACAGGTGTTATGGGACTGTAATTTGATGAAATGACTCGAATCGCAGATTCCCTTGCGAATACAATTGCGAATACACGAGTGATTGAGGGAAAGTCCTCCAGCAAGATCTTTTCGCAGATCTTGAACACCCCTAATGTTTCAGCGGGGATCCATATTCAGGAAGACAGGGGAGAGTCGGCCTTCAGGGCTTATATCCACGGTAGCAACAACCAGCAGGAAGCGTGGGTGCTTAAGGCAGTTCGTGAAATGGTTTTTATTTTTCAACTGGGTGGGGTCTGCTCCGGGAAAGGGTCTGCTCCGGGAAAGGGTCACCCAGCGGGTCTTGCCTGTAGGGTTTCCTTACAAACAGACCCCAGTCCCTCATGCGGCCGGCAGAGGGCGCTCGCCGGACAGCCGACGGGCGGGGGCGGGGCCGCGCCGCTTTCGGCGCGCAGGCGCACTCGTGGCTGCCGCGTCCGCCGCGTCCGGGCTTGACGTTTCCCACTGGAGGCTGGTGAGCTGCGCGGCGCTGGCGGAGGGCGGGCTGGGGGTGGGAGGCTCCCGGCGTCCGCGGCTTTGCGCGGCCTGTGGAGGACCCACGGTGGCCTGCGCGGCTCCCTGCCCCGCCGCGTCGCCTGTCGTGGCCCCGGAGGGTCGGGTGTCCTGGCACGCGGCTCGCGGAGGCGCCCGGCCCGTCGCAGGCATGGCGGGCGTCTCGGAGGAGGGGAGCAAGCCCCAGGACTCGTGGGGCCACAGGGAGCCCAGAGGGACGCCAGGCGCCTGTGCCAAACGCTCACTCTCTGGCACGCACCTCCGCGCTCAGCCTCGGCTGGTCTCTTTTTTTTTGTAAAGATTTTATTTCTAAGTAATGTCTACATCCAACGCGGGGCTCGAACCCACAGCCCCGAGATCGGGAGTGGCATGCTCCGCTGACTCCGCGCGCCAGGCGCACTTTGACGGGTCCATTTTAAAAAGCCGGGTGTGGGGGGTGGGCTTCCCGGGCGCAGTCACCTTCACGGTTTAATTGATGCTTCTGGATAACACCAAGTCACTTTGGGGCCCAAACCCCTGGGTCCTCAGGACAATTTTGGTTTCTGTTCTGTTTTTACATAGCAAACGACTCATTTAAAGTGCACAACGGAATGTCTTCTAGTATATCCAAGGGTTGTGCATCCGTACCAGAATCGATTTCAGAACATATTCATTGTCCCCACGTGAAACCTCACCTTTAGCTGTCACTCTCAATCTCCCGTTCCCCTGGCCCTAGGCAACCCCTGATCTACTTGCTCTCTCTGTGGATTTGCACACTCCGCACGCTTCGTGTAAGGGGGCTCGTATAATATTTGGTCTTTGGCGACTGGTCTCTTTCAGAGAGTGCCCTTTTTGAGGTTCGGCGGTGTTGTAGCTTGTATCGTTCATTTCTTTTTTTTTTATTGCAGAATACTGTCCCGTCGTATGAATGTTCGATTTATCCATTCATCAGTGGATGGACTTTAGGATTAATCTTAACCCCTCCCCCCCTACTGGATCCCTTCTGGATTTGACAGCATCCTACCTGCCCTCGCTCTCCGGCTTGACTCCGTCCCTGGGCTCCTGTGGGGGTGGCAGTGCCTTTCTCCCTTCCGCCTCATTCAAGCTTCTGTCTGCCTTCACCACCTCTTCGCCAAATCCTACTCCCCCTCAGACCTCAGATTTAATGGCCTTTTCTCAAGAAACCTCTGACCCTTGCCTGGGCGAGAGACCCCATGAGCCCATCTTTCAGGGACCCGAATCCACTTTGTAGTAATTGGTTATACTTGAGTAATTGGTTTTACTTTGACGTTAATGTGTAAGTTCGGTGGGTTCAGGGTCTTCTGTTTGTTTCTGGAACCCTGCCCAGTCCCTGGCACCTTGCTGGTGCTCAGTGACTATTTCAGTAGATGCACACGCATGCTTCCTATCCATCAGGCACTCCACTGTACTAGGGTCGGGGTCATGAACAAAATAAATGATCTGCCTGCTTCCTGGAGCTTACATCCCAGTGGGGAAATACAATGAAATATATGTCAGGTGGTTAAGACTGCCATGAAGAAAGATGGACTACAAAGTGGTCAGGGAAGTCCTCTTAAGTGAGACCTGGATTCATTCACTCATTCATTCAGGGAAGCAACACGAGTGCCCTGAGTGGCTGGATGAGGGAGGCCTGGAGGAGGGAGAGCATGACAGGAGAAGGATAAATCCAGAGCCTTCGGCTCGGCCGTCCTCTGAGATGAGCCCTGTCTGTGTGTACGAGCTTGTCAGGACAGTGGAGACCTGGGTATGGGGCCCAGCTGTGCTCTCACCTAGTTCTGTGTGAGCCTGAGCCTCCGTTTTCCTCCTCTGTAAAATGGGAGCAACGGAGTTGTCGATTCAGTAGCCCTGTGAAGTGCCCCGCCGAGGGCGTGTAATAGCTTCCTTCTCTTGCCCTCAAACCGGAGTGGTGTGTTGCGGCCCGTGTGGGGAAGGCGAGGGGCGCAATGCAGCCTAACAGCGCAACGACTCACTTCCGGTTGCTGGTTGCTCTGCTCCGACCGCAGCGTGTTCGCCTCTTGTCTGATTTTTCCAGTTTGCTTTGGTCGGAGTAGCCCACGAGGGTCCCTTACACCTAGAAAAAGCTCAGGTCGAGCCCAGAAAACAGGATGTTCGGGGTGGCTCGCTGGCCTTTGAGAAGGCAGGTGTGGGATCCAGAAGCAGGGATCCCGGGCCTGAGTCTGAGACCTGGCTCTGTCGCCTGCCGGCTCTGTGATTCAGGACAGCCCCTGTCCTTCTGCCGTTAGTGTTCTCTCTGCTAAACAGAGATCAACCAACGCGCGTTCGCTGAGCTTCTCGTATGTTCTGGGCACCGTTCGCCGTGGAGAGAGGACTAATTATAATCCAGCCTCTGCCCTCCGGGAGCTCACGGTCAGCAAGGAACAAATAGGCAGGTAGAGTAGGAGAGGGTATGACGTTCAAGCACCTGAACGTGGCATCCCCCGTGCTAGGCACTGACGTTAACTTTTGTGATCTTTACCAGCCCCTCCTCCCCACGAGGATACGCATCGTGCTCTTCCGTTTGCAGAGGAGGCCGCACAATGTAGAGAAGTCGAACATGCTTGTTTGACAAACACACCAACGTTTGGCCTCAAAACCCTCTCTGTGCTCTTCCATCTCACTGGATGAAGTATGAGACCTTATTTAGAGGCGTGCGGGCAGCATGGGGTGTGAGCCTTGAGGAGGGGACTTGGGAGCTAAATCTGTAAGGATCGGTGTTGAGGCAGGCGAAGAATCCAGCGTGGGAAGAGAGGTGTTGAAGAGCACAGCACGTTTCAGAGATGCTATTGCCAGTAGTTGCTAAGCACAGTGTATGTTCCAGTCAGGTGCCGGGTGGTCTAGGAGAGTTATCGAATCCGTGTAGGAAATACTATCAGTTGCCCCATTGACAGAGGTGCCACTGACCCTGGGGTGGAAGCTGAGAAACTTGCCCAGGTCCCACAGCTGACACGTGGTGGAGCCGGGATTTGAACGCAGACTGCCTGATCCCAAAGTCCATGAACTTCGCCCCAGAGGCAAAGGTCATGGGTAAAGGACACTCCACGGAGGTTTTGGAGCAAGGGGATGACATTGTGTGTGTGTGTGTGTGTGTGTGTGTGTGTTTAGGAAGTATCCTTGGGTTGCACTGGAGAGAGAGATCCTCGGATAGTCTGAGCAAGGCATTGTTCCAAAGCTGAGAGTCCAGATACTGCCCCTGGGCAGTGGGGGTGGGGGGGCGGGGAGGGGGAGGCACTGAGGACCAGGAGGGTGGGGGAAGGGAGAGGGTGGGTCTTGAGAGAGCCTTGAGAGCCTTGACCACATAGGAAAGGGACTGGAGGGGGCGCCTGGGTGGCTTAGTCCGTTAAGCGTCCGACTTTCGCTTAGGTCATGATCTCGCGGTTGGTGGGTTTGAGCCCCGCGTCAGGCTCTGTGCTGACTGCCAGCTCGGAGCCTGGAGCCTATTTCAGAGTCTGTGTCTCCCTCTCTCTCTGACCCTCCCCTGCTCACGCTGTTTCTCTCTCTCTCTCCTAGAAATAAATAAAAATTAAAAAAATTAAAGAAAAAAAAAAGGAAAGGGACTGGAGGAGCAAGGATTGCCGCTCCATTTCTAGTTCGGGAGACGGCGCATGCGCAGGCGGGAGCCCCCGAGCTGGGGGAGCAGACCGGACCCATTCTCCTTCTGTACTGCGACTTTCCCCATCCGGAGAAGTAATTGCATATTTAAACAATGGCCTGCACAGGCTTAATTTAGCCTCGTATCAGGGCCCTATAGGACATAATTTCTGGTCATTTTCTGTAGCTCCATTCTTTTCTTTTTTAAAATATATGATTTTCCCCCACTTATTTTTAGGTGCCCTTTGTGGAGCCACAGGGTAGGAAACAGACAGTGGGGTTAAATGAGGCCATGGGCCTGTTCCTTAGCATCTGTACCAGTGATACTACTTGGCTCCCAGGAAATTCCCTTTGTGCCTTTATTTTCACTCTTTTCCTTTATTCTGTTACATTCTCCTTTGGGTTTCCTCAGAGCTTTTTTTTTTTTTTTTTAAGCATTTCCTTAGTTGCCCCTTCTCTTTGTCTGTGTAATTGACATCAGCCTTGTGACTTTTTTTTTTTTCACCTTTATGCAGCGGGAAGCTATAGATGGTATCCTCTGGTTTCAGAAAAGCACAGAGCAAAGTTTTATCAAGAAGGTTGAGGGGCGCCTGGGTGGCTCAGTCGGTTAAGTGTCTGACTTCAGCTCAGGTCATGATCTCATGGTTCGTGGATTGGAGCCGCGCGTCGGGCTCTGTGCTGACAGCTAGCTCAGAGCCTGGAGCCTGCTTTCAGATTCTGTGTCCCCCTTTCTCTCTGACCCTCCCCAGCTCATGCTGCCTCTCTCTCTCAGGAATAAATAAAACATTAAAAAAATTTTAAAAGAAGGTTGAAAAAGTAAGTACTGGATAATAGCGCAGTTAAATGCTTTCGTGAATGCAGACCGGGTCCTGAATGAGTCCCAGGGGAGTTCTCTGTGGGGTCCTTAGTCCTTACCATCTCATAGCTGTGTGGTCTCTGGCAAGTTACTTAACCTCTCAGAGTCCCAGTTTTCTCATCTGTAAGATGGGGCTAACGATACGTACCCCGTAAGATCTCACACGTAAAGCTCTCAGCACCTATCTGGCACATAGTGATCACTCCCTGAATGGTAGGGAGTAAGATATGCCATCAGCCAGCTGTGCAGAGCGCTCGAGGTAGGACAGCTAGGTAACATGTCGGGCTGTCATCTCTGGTCCCAGGGCCAAGTCCACAGCCACATGCGTGCCGGATGCTCTGAATGACTCCGTATGGGTGATTGACACAGCTCGCTGGGGCTAACGTCTCTCTCTCTCTCTCTTTGTACCCCATCTGTGCCCAGTATGTGATCATTTCTGTGCCTTTATTGTGCCAAATTGAGTTGAGTTGGGTGAGAGACAGACAGTCTCACGTACCCCCCCAGAGATTGTGGCAGAT